ACCCCCAACACCTGGCACGCGGGCCCTAGAGGCTGCAGCATTTGGCCACAGCCCTGCCAAGCGCCTCTGACTCGCCTGGAGGCAGCTTGCCATCCCCAGGGCCCCCAGGTGACTCCCTAAACAGACTTTGAGTCTCCCCAGCGACCGGTTTGGCCTCTTCCCTAAGATAAAGAAGGCACTTGGGGCACCAGGTACCGTGCTTAGATCTGCGGGCGCCGGTGGGGGGTCAGGGAGGAGGAAAGGAGAGGCAGGCATTGATAGGGACACAGTGCACTTAGTAGGTCGGCTCGGTGAGGACAGAATGCACGCAGTGCGTGTATGTGTGTTTGCGCATGTGGTGGGGGGGAGTGATGTGTGTGCACGTGTGTTTGGGGGGGGGGGCAGTGTGCAACCCGCTGAGAGAAAAAGCAGGAGCAGCACCCGCCTGGTGCAACAATTGGTTTCATTCATTCACGCCGCCTTTATTAATGAGCATTTCTTCCCTGCGCGCTAGGCTGGTGCCAGGCCCCGCACTGGGGGGCAGGGGCCAGCTGGGGCCGGGCACACCCCACTCCTGCCCTGGAGGAACTCCCAGTCCCACGAGGTGAGCGACCAGGAAAAGCAGAAAGCCATCCCCGCCGGAAAGTGTATTTGGTGGAAAAGACACTGGATTTGGCAGGAACGCTGGCGCTGGGAGTTGTGTTCCCCGGCCATGTGACCGGGCCGCCGCCACAGCCGAAATCCTGCCACTGGGCCCGGCGGGAACAGGGCATTTCGGAATGGGGGGATGAAAGGGGAGGCGGGGCGTCGCATTCCAGAGGCTCTGGGGACCAGAGGGCACACGAGGCACACGAGGGGCCTACTGGCTGCAACGGCCCGAGGCCTCCCAGGGGCAGTGGCGGGTGGGGCGGAGCGGAGGCCGGGGGGGGGGGGGGGGCGAGGGGGGGGGGGACTGGGGCCGCGGGCAAAGCGCCCACCCTGCAGAGAGCTCCCAGAGCGGGGACTGAGAGGCCCAGGCACGCAGCCCACCTCTCCCCTGCCCAGCTCACGGACGGAGCAGGCTGGGGCAGGGTGAGCACCCTGAGTGGGGGCGGGAGCAGGCGCTGCAGGGGGGGGAGGGGGGGCCTCCAGGAGAGGGTCCGGGGAAGGGGGCTTGGCGAAGCTCAGCCCTGCAGTGCGGAGGTGGCAACAGGTTCCAGTTGGTCCTGCTGCTGGCGCAGCGGGCGCTGCTGGCACCGGGCACAGAGCACTCGCTTTCCCGGTTGGAGGGCTTGCCAGCAGGATCAGGAGAGAGGTGCAGGGGAGACAAATGCCCCATCACATCCCACCCTGGGGCGGGGGTTGCTAGGAACCCAGCTTCCTTTCCTTTCACCATCGCAGAAGCTGCCTCCCTCCTCATCATCTCCCCAGCCAGGCGCTAGCCACCTCCTCCAGAAGGCCCTCTGCACAAGCACGCCTGGGCATCTCAGGAGTTCCTACCTCCCTGACAGTGTGGGTGGGGGCATGTGTGTCTCTTCCTCCCTGTCAGATGCCCCCCCGCCACACACTGCCTAATACACAGCCAGGCCAGGCACCCCAAGCTGGCACATGGCAGAACCTCTTGGTGCCTTCAGCCCCTGGCCACTCCGGGGTTCCACCCACAGGGACATCGGGCCTGGAGGGACCCCCCAGGCTTGGGCCCTTGACCAGGTGGCAGCCTACCTCTGCCTCTGGGAGGGAGGATGGAGGGACAGGAGACCCTAGAAGGCAGATTTCCTGCCTAAGAGGATGTGCACAGAGGGACTGGGCCCTGCTCTGACCCTCCCCCCCCTCCGCCACCCCAAACTTGGGCATTGCAGCCCCAAAGAACTGAGGTCCGGAGCACAGAGGAGGGAGACCACAACCTGGCCCAGTGGATGGACAAAGACTGGGGTGAAGAAAGAGCAGAATATGGACAGGATGTGGAGGAGGGAGGCCTGGGCTGAGGGAAAGGGGACACAACCCAGCCGCCTGAGGCCCCCGGATGCTGGTGGTGGGACTCAATCCGTATGGGAGACAATGGCCAGAGATTCACGCTGGCGACCCACTGGGCCAGGGAAGGAGGAAGCAGGAGAGGGGTGACTTGAGGCAGCCCGGCTCTCCCCAGCATTACTTCTGGAGTTTTCTCATCTTACCGTATTTTCCGGCGTATAAGACGACTTTTGAAACGAAAAATAGTCAATTGAAAATCGGGGGCAAAAGACCAAAATTGCACAAAAATTACCTGCAGATCTTGACGGCAAAGTAAGTCTTTTCTTTGAAGTGGGGGGTAGTCTTATACAGCGAATATGGGCTCTGAGAGGAATCCAGTAGCTGTCCTAAAGTTGACAAAAACGTTGGCCTTCCAGGGGCTTGAGCCCTCCACTCCGCATGGCCTGTGGCACCCATCCTATGCACAGATCTCTGCCTTTTTAAAATATATTTGTATTAATTTCAGAGAGGAAGGGAGAAAGGGAGAGAGAGAAACTTCAATGATGAGAGAATCATGGATCAGCTGCCTCCCACACGCCCCACACTGGGGATCAAGCTTGCAACCCAGGCATGTGCCCTGACCGGGAATCGAACCCTGATCTCCTGGTTCATAGGTCGGTGCTCAACCACTGAGCCACACAGTCGGGCAAGCTCCTGAGGGTCGATTTAGTTCCTTAGGGTCGATTCCCAAATGAATGAATTTCTTTCTAGCTCTGGATGCATATTACCAAATTCATTTCCGAAAGGGCCAACAGAGAATCCTCCAGAAGCAGCAGCAACAGAGCAGCAGGCTGGTTTCACAGCACCCCTGCCAGCACTGGGTGTTCTCATTTTGAGAACATTTTACTAATGTAATAAGTGGGAAGTGTTACCTTGCTTTCTGTTGTTACCTTGGTTTTTTTGTTTTGTTTTATTTTGTTTTGTTCATTTGCCTTCCTTCCATGCCTGAGGTTGAACCTTCCCCCAAGCCCCTTATACCCATTTGGGTTCCCTCCTTCATGTGGTCTTTGCTGGTGGCTCGTTGCCCGATTATCTCTCAGAGTCGTAACCTTTTGATCAATTTGTATGAGCTTTATCTTTGCTGTACATTTCCCCTCCACTCGGCCATTTGCTTTAGACGGGTTTTAAGCTGAGAAGGGACACAGAACCAGTCTTTTCCGCACCTCATTTCATTGGCTCGGTATTTCGCACACGTGGTATTATCTTGTGTGGTCCCCTGTTACCTACGGACCCGTTCCCCCAGCCTGGGAGCTCCATGCAAGCAGAGCCCCTGTGTGCCCGCCTGGTCGTCATCCCGTGTGCATGGAAGGAATGGAGAGGCCAGTGGCCTTTGCTGAGCGAATGTTCTGGCGCAGGGCAGGCAGAGGGTGGCTGAGGTAAAAAGTCCTGGAGGCAGGGAGAGGGCTTTGCAAGCTGTGACAGTGACCCGGTCAAGAGCTGGCGAGCTCAAAGCCTTGGCCAGAGCCAGGCAGAGAGGAGAGTGTACAGATGTGAGGCTTAAGTAGAAATTACTCACTCTTGACTAGGCAGGAGGCAGAGGGAGAGGCTGGGGTGACTCCCAGGATGGTAACATGATAAGAGCAGAGCGCTGCAGTTTGGAGCTGGGAGCTCAGAGTTCCTACGTGCCCCTGGCCAGGCCTGTGAGAAGGAATAAGGGCGTCCAGAGGCTGCCCTCTGCATGCCTGGCCCTCCCGCCAGCCTCCGGCAGGGTTCTCGGCCAGGAAGCAGCAGCAATGGGTCTCTGGTCCTGTTTCTTCCTCCCATGATTTCCAGGGACATCCCACGGTAACCCAAGGGGTAGCTGTGGTGAGCCCACTATATAGATGGGGCCACTGGAGTCCAGTCAGGATCCACAGATGGTCCAGGGTCGCCAAGCGAATAGGCAATCTCTGGGGCAGGGGCACTGGGCTCTCGTCCCCACCCCTCCCCCTGCCTCCGGGGGGCCTGGCTGGCGCCGGCCAGGGGAGCTGTGGCTGGCCCCCTGCTGGGCCCCTGACCTGCCCTTGGCCTCTGCCCTGGCCCAGTCCCGCTTGGGTGGAAGTCCCAGCTCAGCGCGCGACTTGCAGGGGGCCCACCCGACTGCTCTGGCTGGCACCCGTTGGCTAGCTCGACCCCTGAGCCCGCCCCCCTAGCCCCGCCCCTCTAAACGGTAACTCCTTGTCCAAAGGCAGCCGCTTCCAAGGTGGAAGCCAGGTCCTCTGCTGAGCAGCCAGCGCGCCTGCGGCTCAGGACTTTGCTTCCACGTGCGCGGCTGCTCGGGCCGCGCTACCTTCTCCCAGAGGCCCAGCCCGGGGACACCCTGTCCGAGGATCGCGCTCCGAGTCCCGCGGGGGCCCTGGCCGAGGCATCGGCACAGGGCCACCCGCGGGGGGATCCAGACTCAGGTCTCTCTCCTTTTCTTTTCCCCGGACTGGCGGGTTGCGGAGGGAGGGGGGGGTGCCGGGGCTGGATCAGCTCCGGAAGGGCCATCGCCTCCACCCCACTGCTATTCCCTGGCCGTGGGGGAGACCTCGGTCTGAGCCCCTCTCCCACGCACGCGCCCCCAAAGTCTAAAGCGCGAACTTGGGGTGTGATTTCGGGCAGGCCGAACGAGAAACTCCGAAACAAGGAAGGTGTGAAGGAGGGCGGCCGTGCGGGGCTCGGGAGCACCCCAGGAGAGGCTGGGAAGGGAGCCGCGGCTCTCCAAGGGGCTCCGGGATGCCCAGCTTGGCTCTTCGGGGGGAACCTCTCCCACTTTCTTTCTCGGGGCGGCTAACGGCGATCGGGGACCCCGGTGGCTGCCTCGGGCGTTCTTTCGGGGATCACAGTGCCTTCTGCGCGTCCTCACCGTGGGAGGGGCGCGAGGAGAGGGAATCGAGCGGCGCAGGGGTGTCCCCGCGGGTGTCCCGGGCGCCCGCCTTGAGGACACGGGGTTGACTTCACATCCTGACCCTAAGGCGGCCGGGCGGGCGCGGGGGACGCCGGCTCAACCACACGTGTCTCCCCTTCTCTCCGCAGAGCCCGCGGCCCGACGTGCCGGCAGCCGCGAACCCATGGAGGGCCTGGGCCGCTCGTGCTTGTGGCTGCGCCGGGAGCTGTCGCCGCCGCAGCCGCAGCTGCTGCTCCTGGACTGCCGCAGCCGCGAGATGTACGAGTCGGCGCGCATCGGCGGGGCGCTGAGCGTGGCCCTGCCCGCGCTGCTGCTGCGCCGCCTCCGCCGGGGCAGCCTGTCCGTGCGCGCGCTGCTGCCGGGGCCGCCGCTGCAGCCGCCGCCTCCCGCCCCGGTGCTGCTGTACGACCAGGGCGGGGGCCGCCACCGCCGCGGGGATGCCGCCGAGGCCCAGGCCGAGGCCCAGGCTGAGGCCGAGGAGTGGGAGCCCGAGTCGGTGCTGGGCACTCTGCTCCAGAAGCTGCGGGAGGAAGGCTACCTGGCATACTATCTACAGGGTAGGTGCCAGCCTGGGGCGGGGGGTGGGGGGGTCTGGAGAGGGGGGGGGGCGGAATTCCAACCCAGGGAGGCAGGACCCCACCTTCAGAGGGGAGTCACAATTCATTTGATCTTGAGCGAGCCCCGCTTTTTTTGGTCTAAAGTGGAGGTGAGATATCCTCCCCTGAGTGTGATCATGGGCAAGTCCTTCCCCCTTGGGAGCCTCAGTTTCTGAGTCTGGAAAATGGGTAGAAAGTGGCTGATCTGGGCTGGCTCCCAGCCTTCCTGAGCTAGGAATGCTGCCTGCTGCAGCTGCTCAGCCAGGGAGGGGTGGGGGGCAGCGAAACAGGACAAACCTTGCTCTGCAAAGGCAGGAAGGGAGGGGGAGAGGGAGAGAGAGAGGAGCAGGGAAGGCAGAAGGAGGCCTGAGAAAGCAGAGACCTCTCTCCCCCCACCCCAGTCATGGCAAGGCTGGATGGAAGGGAGACAGGTTGATACAAGCCCACTGGCTCCATGCCGAGCCACACACACACACACACACACACACACACACACACACTCACACACACTCACACTCCAGAGAGCCAGGATAGGGACAGGGCTTCTATGAACTTACAGAACCAGTTGTCCCCACCTCCCCGTGGAAGAGGGTCACCGGGCCGTGTTCCTTTGCTCCATTCGGGAGGCACAGGGATATAGAAACCCCCACCCCACCTCCATTGCTGCAGCTCCAGGCCCCGCCCCACCCCGGGGACATAGAAGCTCTCTGAAGACCAAGGAAATGCCCCCTTCTTGGGACTTGGGGCCATCCAGGTGGAATGTCCTGCTCTCTCCCGGGCTCCCCTCTTCTTGGGGTATCCTTTCACCCCTGGAGAGAGCACAGAGGTGGCGGTGACCTGGCCCTTGCCATCAGGGCACTCCTGGTAGAGCAGAGAGGGAGACACCCAGGCAGAGAGCTCATGCGGGAACCTGTAACTGATGGCTGTAGTCCCCCCTCCACCCCACCACCACCCACCCCACCCCCCAAAGTTAGCAGCGCATCTGCCCTTGCGCTGGCCTCGGCCTGGCCCTGGAGGTGTCAGGTCCTTTTTGGATGGCTGTGCCTGGGCCCAGGAGTCACAGTGAGCACCTCCTGTCCAGCAAGTAACCAACAGCACGAGGTGAGGGTGGCTGGGCTGCCCATAGCGCACCGCACGGCGACACCAATCTAGAACAGGCTGCAAGTCCCCTCACGGGTCGGGCTGTCTGAGGCTGGTTCCCTGGTCAGGGACCAGATCAGCAGAAACCTCCTCTCTCCCCCCCCCCAGGTGGCTTCAGCAGATTCCAGGCTGAGTGCCCTCAGCTGTGCGAAAGCAGCCTCAGCAGCCGTGGCGGAGCCAGCATGGCCATGGTGCCCAGTCCAGTGGTGGGGCTGGGCAACCTGTGCCTGGGCTCTGACTGCTCCGACGGGGAGTCTGAACCCGACCGAGACTCCATGAGCTGCGGCCTGGATTCCGAGGGTGCCACGCCCCCCCCATCGGGGCTGATACCATCCTTCCCGGTCCAGATCCTGCCCAACCTCTACCTGGGTTGTGCCCGAGATTCGGCCAATGTGGAGAGCCTGGCCAAGCTGGGCATCCGCTACATCCTCAATGTCACCCCCAACCTCCCTAACCTCTTTGAGAAGAATGGCGACTTTCACTACAAGCAGATTCCCATCTCGGACCACTGGAGCCAGAACTTGTCCCAGTTCTTTCCTGAGGCCATTGCGTTCATTGGTGAGTCCTCCCTGCCCTCCCCTTTCTCCCTCCTCCGCCAGGCCTGGCTCCTGGCCTCTCCCATCCCTTGACCCTCTCCCTCAGGAGCACACCCCTCCCATTCCCTCTCGGTGGCCATCCCCAGAGCCCAAAGTCAGGATGGCACCTGTGGGATCAGGCACCGCTGGGGCCAGGAACCCTCGGACCGGGCCAGGGCTACGTGACTTGGAGGGTGGGACGGGGCGGGGGGCTGCGAGGGCCCCCCTGGAAGACCACTGGCCTGCCCCTCACTCTGTCCCCCAACTCTGCCCTGCCTAGACGAAGCCTTGGGCCAGAACTGCGGGGTGCTTGTCCACTGCCTGGCGGGCGTCAGCCGCTCCGTCACCGTCACCGTGGCCTACCTCATGCAGAAGCTCCACCTCTCCCTCAACGACGCCTACGACCTGGTTAAGCGCAAGAAGTCCAACATCTCGCCCAACTTCAACTTCATGGGGCAGCTGCTAGACTTCGAGCGCAGCCTGCGCCTGGAGGAGCGTCGCGCCCGCGGTCGGGGCAGCGGGGGGCAGGAGTCCGCCACCTCGGACCCGCCCTCCTTCTTCACCACCCCCACCAGCGATGGGGTCTTTGAGCTCGACCCCACATAAGGCCCCCATCCAGTCCTGTCCCCCAAGGGGTGCTCCCCACCACCCATGCGCTGCGGGAGTGGGGAGAAGAGGGAGGGAGGGGGGAGGGGGCTTAGCTGTCAGCGGGGAGGAGCGGGAGGGGGGAGGGGGCTGGGGGGGAGAGCACAATACCTCATGTGGGGGCTGTGGGAAGAGGCAGGTGCTGGGAGCCTCCCCAGGGTGGCCACCCGGAGAGACCCACCCTGCCCACTTGAAACATCCTCGGGAATCCTATTAAATGTGCCTCTGGGCTGGCTGGGAACCCCCCGGCCTGGCCCTCGCCGCTTTGGGGTGGGACCTCGCTCCAGAAACTGCCTCTTCTGCGACTGTTATTTTTTTCTTTGGGGGGGGAGGTCCCCATGCCGAAGGACCATTCCCGGTGGCGGCCTGTCCCCAAGCCCGGGCCCTGCGCTCTGCCAGCTCAGCCGGGCCCTGAGCCCCCCGGTAGTTTTCCCCCCTCAGAGAGGGCATGTGCCTGCTCCGGCCACCTCATCTGCCGCAGGGACCTGCCGGCATTTCCATCCAGGTCCCCAAAGGGCTGCTTCTGGGAAGGGACTCACCACCACCATTGCAGTCACGTCCCGGCTCCTCTGCCCAGAGCTTCCCAAGGGATGCAGACCCCGAGGTGCCACGGCCACCCAGCGGCCACAGGGACAAGCCCGCCTCTGGGTGGCTCCTCGTTGGGCAGCACCGCCGGGGAGATCGGCGGCCCGAGAGCCATTGGGAGGGTTCCCAGCCGCACATCTGGCGCCCTGACTGTTTATCCACTTGACATTTGAAAAGATGCTTTTTTCCCCCCTCTCTCCCAGATGTCTTGACGGGATCACTGGGGCTCTTTGTGACTGAGGGTGGTCAGACTGTCACCGGAGAAGATGGGGTCTCAGAGCGAGAGCTGGAGGAAGGGGAGGGGAAGAAGAAGGCCTGGATTTTGACGCTGCGGGACACACACACACACACACACACACACACACACGGCCATTCATTGCAGACACACCCCTCGTGGGCAGTGGGCAGCGGGCGGCGGCACTTAACACACACCCGAGCCTTTGGGACCCACCCCACAGTTGCTTTCTTGAATTGTTCCTGAATAAACAGTTTCTGTAAAACTCTGAACGGAGGGAGGCTGCTTCCTGGGTACCTTGGAGAGTTTGGGGAAGGGTGGGGGTGGGGGGAGGCCTAGGGAAGGCGGGGGGGGGGCATACTGCGCCGCTCAGGGGCTCAAGTGCCACCCGCCCCCATGTCATCCTTTCCCATGTGGCGCCTGCCTGTCGGCCCCACCTCTGGCCAGGTCCCCCATTTACTCACGACCCATTGAACCCCTATCTGCCACGCACGGCTAATGACCAGGACGAAGCAGTGAACCAAAGAGGCCTGCCACTCAGAGCCAACTTCCGGGAGGGGGAGGGAGAACACTAAACAGACCCCATAAAGCAGTAAATGGCACCCGGTGTCCAGAGTGGCAGAAATCGGGGGAGCAGGGGCCAGAAGTGACCACGGAACGGGCAGCTACGCCCCAAGACTCCATGCAGAGTCAGAGCCTTGGCGGGAAGGGATGGGAGCCACAGAAGGGCCTGAGTAGGGGAGGGAGGGACAAGAGCAGACTTGTGTATCCCAGCATCTGTCCCTCTGGCTGATAAAGTGTGGAATTTGGATCGAAAAGGCCCAGCCCGAGCCGGTTTGGCTCAGTGGCTAGAAAGTCAGCCCGCGGGCTGAAGGGTCCTGGGTTCCATTCTGATCAAGGGCACATACCTGGGTTGCAGACTCTGTCCCCGGCCCCCTGTTAGGATGCATGCAGGAGGCAACCAACCTGTGTCTCTTGCACATCGATGTCTCTCCCCCTCCCCGCCTCTCCCCCTTCTTCCCCTCACTAAAAATCAGTGGGGCTAGGGGGGGGGGGGAATACCTTAATTAAAAAAATGAAAGAAAGAAAGAAGAAAGAAAGAAAGAAAGAAAGAAAGAAAGAAAGAAAGAAAGAAAGAAAGAAAGAAAGAAAGAAAGAAAGAAAGAAAGAAAGAAAGAAAGAAAGAAAGAAAATGAATAAAATCAGTGGGGCTGAAACCAGTTTGGCTCAGTGGATAGAGCATCAGCCTGCGGACTGAAAGGTCCCGGGTTCAATTCCTGTGAAGGGCATGTACCTTGGTTGCAGGCACATCCCGGGGGGTGTGCAGGAGGCAGGTCATCGATGTTTCTAACTCTCTAGCCCTCTCCCTTACTCTCTGTAAAAAATCAATAAAATATATTTTAAAAAATAAAAATAAAAATCAGTAGGAAGATATCCTCGTGGGAGAATGGACAACAGCAAGAAAGCCCAAGCTGGAGGCCAGGAGAGCATGTGGCAACCACTGAGCCACCTGATGTGATCTGTGAGTCTTGCTCCTCCCTGGCCTCCCAGCCTCAGCTCTGAACGCCTGCACACCACGTCTGCGTGTCAGAATCCCCAGCCAGAGAGATGGCGGGAAGCAGAAGGGGGCTGGAAGGCGGGTGGGGGGCAGTGCTGAACACAGCGGCGACTTAGGGAGCAATGTGGTCAGCATGTCCAGGGAAATCGTCCCGGTCCAGAGCCCCTAAAATGTAGGAGGAAATCTAAAGACGTGGCATGGATGGCTGAGCTGGTAGGAAAATAAGAGAAAGCCTCCGAGGTCAGCAACTCTGCGGGTATTTGTGTCAAGAGGAGTGAGCTCGGGGCTCGCTCCTATCCCTGGGCAATCTGCACCCTATAGTCGGCCACATCCTACCGGTAGTTCCAGGATCCTATGAATACAGTCCCTTATATGGCAAAAGGGACTCCATGGATGTGATTAAGTCAAGGCTTTTTTTTTTTTTTTTTTTTTTTTTTTTTTTCCCAGAGAGCAAGGGGGAGGGAAAGACAGAGAGAAACATCAGTGATGAGAGAGAATCATTGATTGGCTGCCTCCTGCACAGCCCCTACTGGGGATCGAGCCCGCAACCTAGGCATGCGCCCTTGACAGGAATCGAACCCCAGGCCCCTTCAGTCTATAAGCAGATGCTCTATCCACTGAGCCAAATCAGCCAAGGCAAGTCAAGGATCTTGAGATGGGGAGACTGTCCTGGACTATCCGAGTGGGCCCTAAATGCCATCACATGCATCTTCATAAAGGCAAGGGGGAGGCAGGAAAGTGAGAGAAGGAGATGTGATGTTGGAACCATGGGCAGCACCAGACAGAGAGAAGACGCTACACTGCTGGCTTTAAAGATGGATGAAGAAGAAGGAATTCTCATCATTTGCAGCAACCTGGATGGAATTGGAGAACATCATGCTGAGTGAAATAAGCCAGTCAATGAAAGAGAAACACCACATGACCTCACTCATTTATGGATAATAAAGAACATTATAAACTGATGAACAAAAAGATAGATACAGAGGCAGTAAAGCAACAAGCAGACTGTCAAATTACAGCGGGGAGGGGAGGGAGATCTGGGGGAGATAAGAGATCAACCAAAGGACTTGTATGCATGCATATAAGCATAACCAATGGACGAAAAACACTGGGAGGGGCATGTATGGGCGTGGGGGAGGGGGGCAATGGAAAGATATGTACACATATGATACCTTAATAAAAAAATAAAAAAATAAAGATGGATGAAGGTGCCGAAACCAGTTTGGCTCAGTGAATAGAGCATCGGCCTGTGGACTGAAAGGTCCCGGGTTCGATTCTGGTCAAGGGCATGTACCTTGGTTGCGGGCACATCCCCAGTAGGGGGTGTGCAAGAGGCAGTTGATCGATGATTCTCTCTCATCGATGTTTCTAACTCTCTATCCCTCTCTCTTCCTCTCTGTAAAAAAATCAATAAAATATATTTTTTTAAAAATACGCAAGGCCTGTCAAGGCCTGTCTTTTAAAAAAAATAAAAAATTTAAAAATTTAAAAAAGATGGATGAAGGTGCCACAAGCCAAGGAATGTGCGTGGCCTCTAGAGGCTGAAAAGGGCAAAAAACAAAAATGGTTTCATCCCTCGAGTCTCCTCTGCCCTGGCCTGGGTGGCTCAGTTGGTGGAGCATCATCCCGTACACCAAAAAAAGGTTGCAGGCCCTAGCCAGTTTGGCTCAGTAGATAGAGCATCGACCTGAGGGCTAAAGGTTCGGGTCCCAGGTTTGAATCCTGTCAAGGGCACATGCCAAAGTTTTGGGGTCGATCCAACATGCAGGAGGCAGCCAATCAAAGATTCCCTCTCATCATTGATGTTTCTATCTCTTTCTTCTTCTCCGAAATCAATAATATATATATATATATATATATATATATATATATATATATATATATATATATATTAAGTTGCAGGTTCAATCCCCAGGCAAAGCGTGTAGGGGAGGCAAGTGTTCTCTCTCTCTCTCTCTCTCTCTCTCTCTCTCTCTCTCTCTCTCTCTTTCTCTCTCTCTCTCTGTTTCTCAAAAAAAAAAAAATCAATAAAACCATATCCTTGGGTGAGGATTTTAAAACCATACATCCCTGCCGACGCCTCGATTTTAACTCAGTGAAATCTATTTTGGATTTCCATAACGGTCCGATAATAAATTTGTGCTGTCTTAAGCCACTAAGTTTGCAATCATTTGATACAGCAGCAACAGAAAACTAATACAATTGGTGACCTAGAAAAAAATATCCCACCAAAAGAGGCAAGGATGCTTGCATATCTTGACCTTGGATCTGGGTGGAAGTGGAAAAAAAAAAGGGGGGGGGGAAATGTTGACCTGAGAATTTATAGCCACAAGCTGCAATTTTAGTTGCGCGTGGTCTAGGCAGAGCGTAGTGGATGCGTGAGGATGTCTCTCTCGCAGGGACTGAGGGAGAGCAATCTGGTTGGGGGGACAGCTTCTAGATTTGTCTCAAAGCTGCATCTGATTAGCTTGCACACAGATTTTACTTAGACTGTGACAGTCCCATAAAAATAGAAAAGTGTAAAAATATATTTTTTAAAAGTTCTAAATGAAGTGGTCTAAAGGGAGGATTGCCCAAGAGCGC